CTGAATTAAAATTCCTCTACAGAACTCAGGTAGGGCAGGAACCTGGCGGCGGCAGCTGATGCAGAGGCTCCATCTGCTTCAGGAGATGGAGGGTGCTCCTTTCTGGTTTGCTCTCTGTGGCCTGCTGAGCTCTCTTTCTTTTAGAACCCAGGATCACCAGGCCAGGAGTGGCATCTCCCACAATGGAATGGGCCCTTCCACGTCAATTACAAATTAAGAAAATGACCTACAGGCTTGCCTACAGCTCGATTTTACGGAGGCATTTTCTTGATTGAAGCTCCCTCCTCTGGGGACTCAAGCTTGTGTGGAGTTGGCATAAAACGAGGCAGCACAAGAGTATTAACTCTACTTTCAAGGTATCTCCAGCATAGCGGAGTGTAAAAGCTGTCTTTAAGTCAGGGGCTACAGTATTAGCTTGAGAATCTTGACCAAGCCTCTTGCGTATCTTCTAAATCCCACCTGCTGTAATGACTGGATTATGAATCCTTTCCAAATCCTACCAAACATTTTCTGGGTGGAGTCAAGAGCTGGACATAGAATCCAGGTCTTTGAGGATGCTGGGTAGTCGGTCTTCAGTAGAGCGCCCCTGCCCCACCCCCAATGGAACTGCTGGAGCCTAGGGGCCTGGAGAGAGGGCTTAGCAGTTAAGAACATTTACTAAATTAAGGTGGTGCTGCATACCTTTAATCCCAGCACTCAGGAGGCAGAGGCTGGCAGAGCTCTGTGAGTTCGAGGCCAGTATGGTCTACAGAGTGGGTTCCAGGGCAGCCAGGGCTACACAGAGAAACCGTGTCCTGAAAAACAAAAAAGAACACTTAATTCTCTTGCAGAAGACTCAAGTTTAGGTCCCGGCATCCATGTCAGGCTGGTAACTCCAGATTCAGGGGATACCATGCCCTCTTCTGGCCTCCAGGGTACTTGCACACTCATGTAAATAAAAATATTTAAAAAATCTTTATAAACTGGGGGAACCTAATCATGTTATTATTTATAAGTGACAACAGGTTTTTTTTTCCCCTTTTTTTTCTTTTAAACATATAACTAAAGTGTCTGAGAGAACCTTCACTGACCTCAAGAAGTGAGTTCTAAATAGCCTACAGAATTGTTAAAACAATCCTCTTTGGCTCTTGTCTGCCATTGCGATCCAAGTTTCATTCCCATGCCTTTCAGAATCAAGTATTCCCTGCCCATGAAATAAAAGCAAAATTGTGCCACTTCCCAGTGGATTTGAGGGAAAACTGGTAACAAGGTGACATAAAACTCCAGAAGACACTGGAAGGGTGGACGGTCCTACCAGAAAGGGCTGAAAGCTTCCGCATCTGGAGATTTGCAGGTTTAACTTGGATCCCGACTTCCTTCTTACCTGGTTTACAAGAGTGAGTTGGTTGGCTCAGCTGGAACTATGTATAAAAACGTTGTTGTTGTGGTCAGACATGTGCTAATAATAATGTAATAAACAATGATTTCTCTGATGACTTAATAACTTTATGGTTATACACACACACACACACACAATCTTAAAAATATATTTATTTCTTTATTTCTGTGTGTATGGCATGGCACACATGTGAAGGCGTGCCAGGAACTAACTTCTGGAAGTTGGTTTCTCCTTCTACCATGTGGGACCCGAGGCTCAAACTCAGGCCATCACGCTTGGAGGCAGGTGCCTTTACTGGCTCAGGCATCTTGCCAGCCCTGACAAAACAACTAAAAATAAGATGTGTTTCTAGGGGTCATAAGCAGACCCATAACCCCGGCTAACTGAGTGACTAAGGCAAGCATATCCTGAGTCCAAAGGCTGCCTAGGCTACAGAAAAAAAGCTCAAGGCTACCACGGACAACTTGGTGAAATCCTGTCTCAAAATAAAAACTGTTTTAATAAGTAATAAAAATTACATATTTTTGTTTATATCTATATTTTTGTATATATATGTATACACACATGCACACACACATACACACATACTTTATGTTTGGTTTTTGAAACAGTCTCACTATGTAGCTTTGGCTTTTTTGGAACACACTATATAGACCAGACCAGACTCAAACTCACAAAGATCTGTCTTCCTCTGCCTTCCGAGGGCCAGGATTAAAGGCCAATGCCACCTCACCTGGCTAATGAATAATTTCCTTTAAAGGGCGAGGGATGTAGTTCAATAGTAAGAGCGCTTGCCTAGAATGCTCTCGGCCCTGGGCTCGCTCATAAAAAATTATAAAAAGATTATTAGGCGGAAAAAAAAATGCTGAGAGATGTAGAGTAGAAACAGGAGTTTAGAGCCACAGCTGCCACTTGGTGGTAGAACGCAGGCCCAGCGTGTGCAAGGCCCCGAATTCTAGGCCCAGCACTGCAGACAAGAAAGCAAAACCCAGGAGTTTCAAGAGAAAAGCAAAAAGGATTCAAACTTCAATTTTGTGCCTTTCAAAGTAGCTGACTTGGTGGAACACATCTTTATTCTCATTACTGGTGAAGCAAGGGCAAGTAGATCTCTGAGTTTCAGGCAAGCCAGCACTTCCCAGTGAAACCCTGCACCAAAACAGTAACAAAAACAGAACAAGCAGGCAGAAGCCCTGACCATGGTGGGTTCCACTTGATACTGGTATAAAGCAATTGTTATCCGAAAACCCACAACACACTGGCAATTAGAAAGTTGTGCTGGGCGTCTGGAGAAATGGCTGGGCGGGGGGGAGTTAAGAAAACCAGCTGTTCTTCCAAAGGTCCTGAGTTCAATTCCCAGCAACCACATGGTGGCTCACAACCACCTATAGTGAGATCTGGTGCCCTCTTCTGGTGCAGACAGAATGCTTATAAGTAAGTAAATCTTTAATTGAAACCGGGGTCATCTGCATGCTAGCCAAGAACTCTATCACCGAGCCTACATCTATAATCCCATCCCAAGCATAATTGCTTGGCAACATGGATTTGATGCTAACTGGAGACTGTCTAAAACCAGCCAACAGAAACAAACCACTTGTCAGACCTGAAATGAAAATGTGTGAAAAATATTAAGCTTCCCCCAAAATCTTTAGGGGTGAACAAGGTGGGGTAGGTGGGGGACAGCTCCCAACCATAACGGCTGACAGCTGGGATGGCTATCAGCTCAGGGATAGCCTTCATTTTGTCTGAGTCAGCTCCATGGCAACTTCACTGACTGGATTTGGAGACACAGCTAGGAGACACAGCTCTGAGTATCTTTTCTTTATTCCCTGTGTATGAGTATTTTGCCCACATTGATGTCTGTGGACCTCATGAGTGCCTTGTGCCCGTGGGGCCAGAGAGAGGGTGTTAGATCTCCTGGAACTGGAGCCATGGCCGGTTGTAAGGTATGGTACTGGAAATGGAAACTAGGTCCTTTGCAAAGGCATCAAGTGCTCTCAGGGGCTGAGCCATCTCTCCAACCCTTCTGACTATGTCTTTGAGTTTCCAACTGAGGGAAGACCCACTCTGGAATTTGGCAGGACCTTTCCATGGGCTGTGATCCTGAACAGTATAAAAGGGTAAAAAAGAAAAAAGCCAGTTAGACGGACATTCCCTTCTCTCCTTCCTGGTTGGCACCACCAACCATGCTGCTCCCAGCTGCCATGCCTTCTCTGCCATGGTGCACTGCTCTCCCCCGAACCATGAGCCAAAATAAACCCTTCTTCTCTATAGTCAGGTCGCTGCAAGGAGTTAAAGAGCATGCATTGCCCGCCTAACTCTCTGTATTTAATGATCCCCCTTCCTAACTCCCTTGACCTCTTTGCAGAACAATGTAGAACACAGGCTAACAGAGGTCATGTTCCAATAAGCAGCCTGCCCAATGGCATGCATTTCAGAATGAGAAAGCTGTGGCTCAGCGTGCGTGGGTTCCATACATAAGGGGCCCTCTCAAGGAAGCCATGTTCTGACCGTGACATTCTTCCCATTCCGACTTGCTGCTTAAGCTTACTGGAGGATTATTCTATCACGCTGCCACTGACCTCACCCATCTGGCTAGCTAACAAATACGGTCAGATATTCAGAGACACGTACTCTTGGGTGAGCTTGTGTGAGCGTTGGTGTACATGCGCACTGGAACTCACGAGGCAGCCAGAGGACCTCAGATGCCTTAAGACAGGGTCTTCCGTTCTACGGCCCCATATGCCAAGCTCACTGCCCCCCGGCTTTTGGAGCTTTTGTCTCACTGTAGGGACACACGTTACATACGTGTGCCACTGTGCTGACTGGAAATCTGAACTCACGCTTGTGCCACGACGCTTCTTGTGCGCTGAGCCATTCCCCACTCCCATTTTATTTATTTTGCGATTGCTGAATTACTTTTTTCCATATCGAATTTACCACAGCAGTTTCTGGTGACTTACAGGTGTCCCTTAGAAGCCCCTAAGAAACACGCCCTCCATGTATACTGCAGTGCTGTTCATAAAATAACACAAAAGGCATGTTTAAACCTTCAGGCTTTAGCCGGTCACAGTTAGGTGGCAACAGTCTGTCCCTCACTGTATTTATGTTGAGGCTGCTTTAACCATAATACACTTTAACAGGCTAAGCACCATGTTAAAATTAGCCCATTACTGGGGGCTGGAGAGATGGCTCCATGGTTAAGCACGCTGGCTCTTCTTCAAAATGTCCCCCCCAGCAACCACATGGTGGCTCCCAACCATCTATACTGGGATCTGATGCCCTCTTCTGGCGTGCAGATGTACATGCAGATAAAGCACTCAGTATATAATCTTTGTAAAAAAAAAAAAAAAAAGAAAAGCCACCCATATCAGTGAGCTGGTGAGATTCTGTTACCACACCCAACCTGAATTTGATTCCCGAGACCTACGAGGTGGGAGGAGAGATCTGACCTCTGACCTCCACTCCCCACAATAAATAAAAATTAAGAGACTCTAATGCCAAGGCAGACTTGGATTGCTCTTTTTCAAAAAGGACCACAGGGGAGGGGGTTGATTTAATCTTACTCCAGTTAATGACATTTTAACAGGAGCTGCAAACAACGAAACCAAGAAAAATAAACACAAACAGGAACAAATGACCTTTTATTTCATACGGGGATACAAAGGCAATTGTGTGTAGCAACCATCTAACCGCCAGTCCAAATTCTTGGGAGGAAGTAAATTCATAGTAAATGTCATGATGGCTTGTCAGAGAGGTCAGAGGAGGAGGAGGGAGCCAAGACAGAGATGATTACAGCTAATAAATAACACAGGCGCTGCACGACTTCAGTGTGCCAAACTGAGGCTCGCCAGGTGACCTCTGTGCTTCTTAGAGCAGGATTCCACGGCAGCCACGAAAATCCTCCAAGGGCATTGGGTGCAGTTCTACTGGGTGTTCAGGGAAGGAGCATCCTTGCAGGTAAATGAGACTTTCTAAGACGCTGTAACCCGTATTCATCACTGTCCTGGAGGGTCTCTGGGGCCACGTTTGTGATGGCATCCTTTTTAAGGAAATATACCTGAAAGCCAGGCACACTGGCTCATGCCTTTAATCCCAGCAATCAGGAGGCAGAGGCAGGCAGATCTCTGTGAGGTTGAGGACAGCCAAGGCTACATTAAGGACCTCGTCTCCTTTGTCTCTCAAAAAAAAAAAAGAAAGAAAAGAAAAAGAAGAAAAAGGACTCTCTCTCTCTCTGAGACTGGCCATAGTGACCCCCTGCCTCAGTCCTGAGATTACAGGTGCGTGCTACCATGCTAGCCTTAGCATTTTCCTTTAGCGTAAGTTTCTGAAGAACTTATTTTCTGAGAAAGCTATGCTCCAAAACACGATGAAAACCAGGGTCACTGTGGTGGCAGAGCCTTCCTCAGCACGGCCTCTACAGTAGCTGCTCACTGAGGCCTCCGCCGTGGCCTGTCCACTGGACATCGTGATGGACACTTCTCAAGACTTACGTTTGTAACAGGGGCATGCCGCACAACCTGCCACTAGTTCAAATGGCCTTTGACATATATCAGTAAACTATGCGATGTTACTTTAATTTTTATGTTTTATGCAAGAATACTGAACCAAACCTCAAAGTCTTTACCGAGTAAAGGCTCGGTAGCATGATTTACCTAACTTTTGGATAAAGAGTTTTTGTTTGTTTGTTTTTTAAGTTTATGACTTTTAGTCCAAGGACGAACTTCCAAATTCAATGTCTGGAGCTGAACTGTGCTGGTCAGAGCCTAAGGGTCCAGGTTTTCGGAATGAAGGCATGATGTGGATAGCAGAGCAGAGAGTAGGGAAATGGATCTGAACTTCAGGCATGACATGGGTCGGCTGCTGTTGCTAAAATCCAGCAGAATTATCTCGGCAACTCTGTAGATAAACCCTCATGTACACTATAGAAAAGCTTCAAGAATTCAGATATACAGATAACCCAATGAAAAAACCAACCCTTTCTCAGAGTATTCTCAAGCACTATATAAATCTTTAAAATCCCTATCACTCACATTTTAAGAAACAAATTTATACGTCAGTAAGGCACTCTTTGAACACAAATAGTTTTGAAAACAGCTACATTTGGGGCTAGGGTAGGCCATCCCTTTGTGAGAGGGGCTCTCAAGAGGCGGGAGCCTGGCCCACTCTTAGTCTCTAAAGGGCCGGCTACGACTGTGAGGTTCCCCTCGCCAGGAAGGGTTCTACACTAACAGTACTACCCAGATGCAGTGAAGAACCGGAAAGCAGGTGCTCTTTTCCCTCCTGAAGCTGCTGCATTTGAACAGAGAATAGTAACTTGGATGAGCTCTGCTTACAAGGCAAGCAGAACAGAAGACACACAGACTCCATCCTCTGACTGCGCCGATGAGCCATCCTCAACTGTGACTCTGATGTGCATGTTCACTATTGACCTGGCAGCTTTCACTTCTCAACAAGAAGCTGAATCCCACCATTCTTATTGCTCAGTAAAACAAACACCGTTTGCCACTTAGGAGGCTGTAACAGAGAGGGAAGCGGTGGGATTCCACTCTTTCCTACATGATGAAAGAAAATGAGGGAAGCAGGGGTTAGACGAAGCCTGACATACGACTTCACTACGAAAAGAGGGCACTGAATGTCCTGCCAGAGGGAGAGGGCTTAAACATGGGGCTTCAGGAGTGTGAATGCAGACACCGCTGGACCAGGTCTTGCTTCCAAGGAGTAATGAAGGATCCTAGAGAGGCAGCCGGGAGGCATTACCCTTTTGAATTCTTCTAGGCTGGAAGCAAACAGCCAGTTACTTCCCATAGAACTTCTTGTTGAGAAGGAAGATCAGGAGATTGACATTCACCTTAGCTCTATCAAATAACTTCATGACTGCAACCCCCTCATACTGCAGCTGCAGCAAGTCCTGTTAAAAAAAAAACAAAACAAAAAAAAAAAAAAAAAACAAGCAGTTTAACCAGCAAATCTGGAACGGAAAAAAAGGAGGGTCCTCCTGAAGGACTCAGGAGAGGTGAGGGAGGTCTTGGGTGCCAGACGTGCAGCGGGGCAAGCAAGACACAAGTTCCCAATGCAGAGCCCTCTACCGCACATCCACCTGGGGCTGCTGGCTGAGGGAGCCTTCAGGCCTACTTGGTCTTAGGGTATCATTTGGCCTATAGAAGAATATTCTAAATATGGGGGAAACGAGTATGTACAGTTAAAATACATACATTTAAACCTTATTTCCAAAGTTATGCTAATGGTTGAAAATGAGAATGGCCAGTAATGTCTCAGTACCTACAAGATTCCTTTTTTAAAAATATTTTTTTGAGAAAGTCTCGTTTGGCACAGGCTGGCCTCAAACTATTGTCTCCATGTCTGCACAATGGGTATGCACCGCCATGCACAGTCTCTGCAGCGCTGGGATCAAGCCCAGGGCTCTGCCAAACAAGCATTCTGCCAGCAGAGGGCTGCGTCCCCAGCCCCCTCCACAATCAACTGGACTCCTGTTTTCGAAGACTGAACCCAGGGCCTCGTGTATTTTGAATCTGAAGTTTGTTACTGGAAAGGCAAGCGAAACAGGGGGACCGCACGGTCACTGGATGCCCAACCTGTGCGTGGCATCGTTCAGGCACATTGTACAGAACCTTCTCAAGTCATTAGAAGAACCCCATGGGGTGTGATTATCCAAACTTTAAAGATGAGCTGCTGAGGCTCTAACAGTTGGGTGGCATGGCCATCAGGAAAGAGATGGGTTTGGGCTGGTCCAGATCCAACACAGGCTGTTTTCTCAGCACTCTCTACTGTCCTGAAGGCTTATGGCAGCATTGTCGGTGTCCCCACCCCTAAACTGTCGAGAGTGGTGATGAGAAAGCCAGGGTCAAAGGGCATGAAGGGACTGCGGTGTCATGGGGATGGGGACCATGCTGTGTCCTTTTTTGCCTAGCTTAATCCTACTGCCAGGCACTACGAACCAGACAAGGTTAATGAATCTGAGCACCAATGTACTGCTGGGCCTCCACTCACGTGGTGAAACCAGTGGGATAACGGATTGTGTGTGGTACTTAGTGACAATGTATGAAGAAATCCTTTCACATTTTACTTAATATGCTCTGAGAGATGACTGGTTACTGAGAAGGAAATGAAGATGACTAAGACACACTGTTTTAGGAGTTCACAGTTTTGGGGGTGACAGGGAAATGAGTCAGCTTCGCACTGTCAACAGAGGATGTCTCTCAGGACTGCTGATGCAGAGGGAAGAGCTACCACTGTGACGATGGGGAAGGCCTGCAGGGGAGGCAATGCGTGCGAGTGCTCACGGTTTGAGGGAGGCAGAAGGCGGGCAAGGAGGAGAGGAAGGGCGGCCGGTGATGTGAGGGGGTGCATCCGGTGCAGAGGTCTGAATGCGTGCCCCCAGACAGGCCCCAGCCTTGCTTGCTGCATCACAGCAGAGCACAGCAGTGTGGGGACAGGACGGGCAGGAGGATGGCTTGGCAGGTGAACACGTGCGAGGCCCTGCATTCCATCTGCAGCGTTGCAAAAGCAATAAAGCCATCAACACAGCCCCCAAGAGGCCCGGTAGGTGGTGCCCACACAAAGCCAGAGGGGTCTGGCCCCTGCTTATGGGTCCTCTCCATTTCCTGACTGTTTCTGGCCTTGGATTCTAAAGATGGCTTTCACTATCTAGTCTGGCCTGGAATACACAATGAAGTCCAGGCTGGCCTCAAACTCTGAATCCTCCTGCCTCTGCCACCTGAGTGCTGGCGTGCCACCACCCCAACTGGGGAGATGTTTTTAATGTGCAGACAGATATTTAGGTAGTTAAGTATGGTGCCACATATCTATAATCCCAGCATTTGGGAGAAATAGGAGGCTCAGGAGTTCAAAGCCAGCTTCAACGATACAGTGGAGCTGAGGCTGCATGAGAGTCCTCCCACTCCCCAAATTAGGCATTTGGAGCTGGACCCTGAGCTCAGTGGGAAACAGCTTAGCAAGCCTAGTCCTGAGGGTCAGACTTAAGCACCAGAAAATAAAACAAGACACTTAAAATAAAAAAAATAGGGACAATTATGTTATAAAACCAATTTTGAATTTAAAATGTGATTCAGATTTACAAAGATGCAACTTATTCACATGGTTTTAGTAATACACCTAACAAAAGTAACCGTGTAAATACAAATGAGAGGAGGGGAAAAAAGCTTCAAGTACTGAGCAGCAAAGTCCCCTACTGCTAACACTTGTCAGACACTTCCTTCAAGGCCAGGGAACCAGCTCAGTTCAAGGCACGCTGAGTGAAACTTGGGGTACCACTGTGCTCTAAAGCTCATACACCTGAGCAAACAAAAGAACACACAGGCCCTGCCCAACTCCCCAAACTCTTGGCTTCTCCCATCAACTAGGCACGGAGCTCTTTGAATACACAGGCTTTCCTCAAAGGGCCTTCTCTTATCTTTTTCTCCCACCCCAGAGAGCTTCAGGCCCAAGCCTGTGCACACCCACCTGATAATGCAACATGAAAGTCTCCATCTGAACTCCCATGAACTTGGCTTTCACTTCAAAGTCACCAACTTCTTCTGTTGGACCAATTTCAAAGATAACATTTTTAAACCTGTTGAAACACAACACCGTATGTGTGAGCTTCGAGTTTTCAGGTGATGATGCTCTGAGATGAGGGAAGAGGACATTGCTGGTGCCTGGATCAAAGTACAGGACCAAAGCTCTCCTGCAGGGGAGGTGCCACAGGCAGGACAGCATACCATGCCCTCTGCTTTGAGCCCTGGAGAGAGAAATGGATACCTCTCCCTGAAGCACTTGTATACTGTTCCAAGATGACCCATGGAGAGGCCACAATGGCCTGAAATGGTGATACGAGACGGCTCTTCCCCGAAGCTACTGCTGAAAGTCAGTGAGAAAAAGGAGCTGGGCATGGTGCCGTGCACCTTTAAGCCCAGCACTCGGAGGCAGAGCCAGGCAGATCTCTGAGTTTCGATGCCAGCCTGGTCTACAGCGTTCCAGGACAGCCAGCGCTACAGTGAGGAATCCTGGGGGTGGGGAGAAAAAGTGGACTGAAGCTGAGGGAGGAGGGTGTTTGAGGATTGGGAAAGGTGAATGACTAGAGCAGGGGGTCAGCAAGAAGCAGGGGCTTCAGTCGACAGGGGAAGTGTGCACACTGAAGTATGCCAAGCACACGCTGCCCTCGGCAGAAAGCCTGAGAGTACCAGGGACAAGTGGGGTTATGCTGCTCCCCAGGAGGACAAGGTGCACCCCACGTTTCCAGAGCCCCTGGGAGCTGTGACCCACTACAGAGCGGAGGACCACTAAGGACGCACAGGAGGGCACCAAGGAGATAGAGGACGCTCAGAGTCCGCGCTCAGAGTCCGGCTGATTTCAGTTTACTTCACCGAGGCACTTCCTTCCTCCACATAATTGCTTCGTGCGGTAATTAATTTAAATGCACTTGGTGAGTCTTCTGGTTTTGAGGCCCACAGCAGCAAATGAGAAAGAAGGTAAGTAAACACAGGGGCATGTGAATAGCAGCGGAAAATAATGACAGAAAGAAGGGACAGAGCAAGGTCAGGCTGCAGAGAGCCAGAACAACCACAACTACCACCACCACAACAAAACCCAAACAGCTATAACAAAATCAGAAAGACAAAGGTCCCAAGTTAAAAACTGACCAGAGCCAAAAGCAGATGAGCCATACCCAAATCACAACCGAAACAATCCTGCCAAAAACCCAACCCCTCAATCAGAAATCTAAAACACAAACTCTGGAGACACTTTTAAGTGATAAAAAAAGGAGACACGTATGTGTATGCTGAGTGTGCATGGGTGTGAGCAAATGTGCACATGGAGGCCAGAAGAGGGCGTCAAATCCTTGGAGCTGGAGTTACAGGCAACTGTGAGCTGGCTGGGTGCTGGGACGGGACTGCAAGAGCAGTCAGTGCTCTAGTCACCGAGCTGCCATCCGGCACTTACAGGGTATGGAGGACTATTCATTAACTGCCTCAGTCACCGATGGCAAGGAGCAATGCCACCGGCACTCTCCCACGCTCACTGGCCCTGCTGGAGGCACTGTGGCAACAGTCTATCAGCATGCTTTGCAACCACTGTGGAAACAGTACCCTACAGCCAAAATGTGAGTTCCCATATGGCCCTCCGCCCCTCTTCTGGGCACATACAGGAGACGTGAGTAGGCGCGCAGGAGCGTCAGCACCTGTGTGCCGCAGCACTGCTTACAATGGCTCACGGGCAGAAACAGCGCCTGTCCATCAGGCGTGAGGGACCCAGCAAAATGCGGTACACACAGACAATGGAATATCATTTGGCCTGAAAGATGAAGGAAACCCTGTCATGTGGTCATTATGCTAAGTGAGTGAGCAAGCTAGACACAGAAGATAGAAAGTGCATGGCCTCACTTCTGTGAGGTAACGGATGCGGTCAAATGCAAAGGCCATAAAGGGCGTGGTGGCGGCCAGAGGCCGGTTGCAGGGAGACACAGGGAGTGAATCGTGCAAGATGAAAACCTTCCAGTGATGGGCCCATGATGTGAATACTCTGAACTATTGAACCCTTGAAAACAGTTAGTGTGAACTGTAAGTCATGTGCTTTTGTAATAGCTTTTAAAAAACACTCTTTGATTAGAAATTCAGTCATAGGCATCCATTACTTTAGAAAGCAGTCACGGCCTAGTGTGGCAGCGCATGCCTGTAATCTGAGCACACAGAAGGATAAAGGAGCCTGTGAGACACCAACCACCGCAAAACAGAAGCTGGGCATGCTGCTGTGGAGCCCTAGCTTTGCAGAAGAGTGAGGCGAAGATCAACTGAGCCGGGGAACTCAGTATCAGCTTGAGCAGCATAGCCAGGTACCATCTCAAAAAAGATGTGATTTAATGCAAGCATTGGCTGACATGTGTTACCACAATTAATGATATAATAAAAAGGTTAATTAATATTCTAAACTAGGTCAACAGAGAAAATACGTAGCCATTTTAAAAGATTTTTTTTTTTTTTTTTTTTTGAGACAGAGTTTCTCTGTGTAGTTCTGGGTGTCCTGGCACTCGTTCTGTAGACAAGGCTGGCCTTGAACTCAAGAGATCTGCCTGCCTCTGCTCTGACCGCTGGGATTAAAGGTGTGTGCCACTCCGCCAGGCTATGTCATCGCCTCGTAAGAGAGAGTTACCAATAAAAGTTAGATACATGACAGCAAACACTACCCTACCTTACGTTTAGAAAGTGAGGTACACTGCTTAGATACACAGTGGACGGACGGATTACCTTTCTCTCAATAACAGCATAGAAGGAAGGCTGCTCTTGCAAGACTTCCCCTCTAGCTTGTGGGTCTCTCTCATGCTTTGCCCTACTTTCAAAGGTCGGTGACACATATCTATTTCTGTATTTCAGAATCAGAAGAGCTAAATTCCTTCTGGAACAGACAAAGGAGAGTCAACAGCCCAAGCTCAGTATGTGCTTTCAACAGTGCAGGCCGGGGCTGGCAGAGGACGGTGGGTGTGCGACCTGAGCTCTTCTGCCCCAAGGGAAAAGGGAGCTGCGCTTCCAGAAAGGATGCGGGTGACCCCACGCGAAACGAGGTGAATGTTTCTCATGGCGTGTGTGGCGGTGTCAGTGAGTGGGCTCCACAGGCTTACATGTTTGAATGCTTGGTTGCCCAGTTGTTGGAGCTGTTTGTGAAGGATTAGGAGGTGTGGCTTGTTGGAGGAGGTGCCCCACCGGCTTGAGATTTCAGGAGATAGGGCTCATTCAGGGTGGTATGGCCTTGGAGATTTGGTATGGGCTTTGAGATTTCAAAAGCTCATGCCAGGCCCAGTCTTGGGTCAGATGTGAGCTCTCGGCTACTGCTCCAGTGCCGTGCCTGCCTACCTGCCAAACTTCCTGTCAGGACATCCTGGACTAATAACCCTCTGAAACTAATGCTTTCTTTTATAGTTGCTTTGCTCATTGCACAGCCATAGGAGAGTAAGTAAGACAGTATGTCTGGTCAGATACAGAAAGCGAAAGAGTGGTTTCCTGCTTCTAAGAGGTGAGTTAAGATGGGGTGCACACACTCTGGAGTCAACGTGCCTGGAACAGATGTTCCACAAATGAGGAAAAGAAATTTGTTCTCGGGTGGCGAACTCTTAGGGAATAGAGGTACCTATCCTCAAGCCTGGTGACCAGAGTTCCGTCCCTGGGACCTGTATGGTTGGTAGAAGGAGAGAACCAACCCCTTTAAGTTGACGTCTGACCCTCTTGGATATACCATAGTGAATGCACGTGTGCACATATAAACTAAACAACTTCTTACAATGCATTCTCAGCCAGGGGGTGATGGTGCACACCTTCAAGCCCAGCACCTGGGAGGTGGAGGCAGGCACATCTGTAAGGGTAGGGGCCAGCCTGGTCTACAGAGCAGGTGCCAGGACAGCCAGTGCCATACAGAGAAAACCTGTTTCAAACCCAACCCCCCACAAAAAAAACCCCAAAACTGTAATATCTTTTATTACCAGGCTAATAAACTTTGTTTATAAAACATAGCTCTACACATTAAAAAGCATTTATATACAAATGCATAAAATAGATAAAAGAGTCACCTAGAAAAAGAAATACGCACAAAAAGATGTGATGAAATCAAAATTAAAAACAGTTCTTAAACAAAGCTAAAATGGAAACTTGGGAGGAAATGGCTCTGCAGGTAAAGTACCCACTGCCCAAGCATGAGGACCTCAGTTCAGATGCCCAACATCCATGTAATCATCTGGGCACATCAGTGCATGGCTGCAACCTCAGCACTGGGGTGGGGGTGAGGGTGAGGGACACAGGCAGATTCCCAGGGTTTTGCTAGTCATCGTAGCAAAACTGAGGAGCTCCGCTCAGTGAAAGGCCATGCCTCAGAAAGTAACCTGGAGAGTGAAGAGGACTGGACACCTGACGCTGGACTCCATGTTCACACGCGCGCGCGCGCACGCACACACACACACACACACACACACACACACACACACACACACACAC